AGATTTTTTTTAAACCCAGTAATACTGTGCCCGACCCGAAAATCGAACCCGATACCCCTTGCCCGGCAGTCGCACATGCGACCACTCGGTGATATAGAAATATTACCAACCTATTGAATAGGGAATCATCCCTGTCATCAGACAGGGTATGAAAATTAAAAATCTAATTAGTCCGTCAGTTATGTAATTTAATAATATTAGACACGTTTTTTATTTTGTCGTATAAGAAAACTATACTTAGATAAAACGAATCAAAGTTTCAGAGTGGGAAGTAACTACGTCATTTTAGAATATAAATCGCACTCAAAAGTGACGTCATGCGATATTTCAAATCAATAATAATAATATATCTAAAGAGAGTGATGTCGTAACAAATTAGTATTTAAAACAAGAATCAAGTTTATAATACTTTCTCTTGTGATAAGGTGTAATTCATAGAATCAATTTACGAGAACTTTAAATGTATCCACTGTCAACATCTCGTACCACGCACGGCGTCCACAACAATACAATAAACAAAATCGTAACCATGTCAACGTCAACTAAGCGATGACGTGAACTTGACAGTAATTTGAATAACATTGCCAGTGAATTAAAATAAAAAGAAATATAATAAAAAATTGTCGCACCTTTAAAGTAAAACTGTTAAAAAGAAAATTTTCATGAATTGAGTATTTACATGAAACGACTGTTTAAAAAGCCTAAAATAATTAGATGGCATTAACTCAATTTATGAAAATTTTTGTTTAATAACGCTTTTACTTTAAAGGTGCGACATGTAAATGTAGAAAGGAATCTATTCACAGAGTGCAGTGCGCTGCCGTGATTGGAACATGTGAGCTACTCATGAATGGGTAACGAGACAACATCGCCCTCGATTTACCTACTTTAAGTAACGCCAGTAGGGGATATATTAAACAACCAGCTTTACACACGTTTACTTAGATACGATTTTGATTTTGCCTTCTTTTTTATTGCTTGAGGGTAAGACGTTGATGCCTCGTTGATTTTTTTTAATATTGAATTGTATTTCTCCACGAACTTGAGTTTGTGCCCTTGTCATATTACAGTTACATTGTTTTCCTGATCAAATAATTGTTATAAAGATCTTACATGCCACTAAAATCACTACACAAAGTACTTGATGTTGTTACCTAAATATTATAATCTTATTATTTTGCACTAACCCTACTGGATCAGCCCACCAGCACGATGAGCGAGCCGACCCGCTCCAGCAGAAGGCACCCATTCACGAGTATGACGTGTAGGCCAGCAATCGGACCGATCAAACATTTCGTACGGAACGGAACGACCCAGCCGACAGCGCCAGCGACTGTAGAACATTTGATGCCGCGTTGTTATAACATTACACGTCATGTTACACTCGTTACAATTTGCATCTACGTACCTCACGTCGGTTACCAAGTTCATGATTTATGAGTCCTGGTTGAGACTTGAAACTAATCGAGCACCCTCAATAAGTTACATATCTTTTATGCCAAAAATACGGCTTGTATTTCGTTTGAAATATGGACATGTGGTGATATTTTTCGTTTTCAGTGACTCGAACACAGATATTTTAAGCACTAGATATTTATTTCAACAGTAATCGGTAAGATTTTACGATGGGCACTTTACGCGAACATCGTTAGCTATGCCACAGATAATATTTAGTACCACAGACTAGGCACTAAATACAAGAACATAAATTACTGCGCCCTGCGCCCTTATTGTTTGTTGGCTTATTGTTTGGTTGCGAGGAGGCAGCGAAGCGCTGCCTCCTCGCAACCCAGTCATCGTGAAGGACACTCCGATCTCCGGCCACCGTAAGCGCGGGCCTGCGGACGGCGAGCATAAGTGGCTCGCTGCCCGACCAGAACCAGACCCGAGCGTACGGCGCAACGCGTTCCGAGTGCGCCTCAATGAGCCATCAGACCACCATGGATGGGGCCCAATAAGGCTAATGCCGATTCGGAGTCGCTCCCCAAGGTACAGGCTGCAGACAAGATGTGATTGTTCACACTGACCGCTTTTGTTATTATCGTTACTAGCAGACGTAGTATTGATGATAGTGTTGTTAAATATTACCTACAGGAGAAAAGTAGATGTCGCTAGTTACGTTATTTGTAATCTACCACAGAGTATGTAATGGGACACGACATACAAATGAGTGTATTTAAGCATTGATGTAAAAAGCGATTTGTATATTGGATACGATTTAATACAGCGAATTTTTACTGACAATTATAAGATTTAGTGTATGTAACACGATGATAATATTTAAATAACGCCTGTATTAAAACCTAATCACAAACGTCAATACGTAACTTACTGCTATAGTATTTCGACAGGCGCTCTAAATTTTTAAACAATACAACACAAGAGGAAAATAATAACATACCTAACTGATAGAAATATGTTTAACCAACTGGTCAAACTTCGTATTTCATATAAAACTTAAATTCTAGCAATATTTTCCAGGCGTATGTTGGGCAGCTGCTGACTCAGCGTACTTTGCAGGCTATTGCGATACGCCACGGCCACAGGTGGGCTGATACCAACTAATTTATGGCTGAAGTTGCTTCACATTTTCATTTTTATTCCTAAAACTTGCTCGTGATAAAAATCCTATAAATATTATGCAAAAAGTAAGTGTACCTACCACTTACTTTTTGCGCACTGTGGGTTAGACCCGGTAAGTGAGAGGATACTAAAGTTCATGTAGGTTCTAAGACATTTATTTAAACCTGTTCAAACTCAAGTCTCAAAATGTAACCAATATAAAATTTTCGAACGGGGTAGGTTATCGTATAACGTATCGACGGAGAATCTTAACACCGCGATGTAGATTATGACGTCATCTAACAATGCCATCTAGTTAACTTCACTAGAACTTCTATTAGCATTAAAAAATTCGTCCGCATCGACGTCAATACGGATAGTACCCAGAAGGCTGGCAGCATTGCCACGTTGTATGGCAATGCTCAACCTCTGACCGAGAAACAGACCAGCCCTCACAGATATACATAAATCCTAGTAACGTACATAAATATAAATGATAAGGTTGTAGACTGTAGTTATCTAATTAACTACCTATGCAGGAAGCCAGTGCTCAGGGAGCTGGTCTAAAATCCTTGACAGCAGACGTCTCTATAAACACTTTGTCTTTGTGTGGCCACCCTAGAAAAAAGAAAAAAGAATCCGAACGTTTGTTTGTTTGTTTGTTTGTTACCCCTTCACGTCAAAACAGCTGAAGAGATCGGGATGACATTTGGACCAGGGATAGGTTATAATCCGGAATAACACAGGCTTCTTTCCCAAGACGACACGGACGAAACTGCTGTTAGAATTACTAGCTAGTTTAGGGAACAGAGAGTATAGTTCCCTAAGATCGGAAAAGGAGGATCCTCCGACCAGGCTAGGTGATCGTGCCTGGCAGGCTTTCTGCCCAACAGTTGTTCGTTGGGATTATTATTATTCGCTTGTAAACTTTGTATGTGCGATGTAGGATTCTTGTGACGTCATCCGTTGACATGTGACATGCGTCGCCACACTAGTAAATCTATATATAAATCACACCATCAACAAAAACTGTGGTAGACAAAACTTCAAAAAACAAAAAAAAATACTGTAAATGCAACACAAATTCTCGTAAATTCTGCGCAGCGTTTGCGGTGGGTGGCGGTGGGTACCACATTACCTATAGGAATACAAACATTCGTCTTTGCTGTAGGTACAAGAGCAAGGAAACCCGAGTGTATCGTTTTGTGAATATTAGGGCGTGGACCCAATGTAAGATAAATATGAAATATTAAAAAATGAGCCTTCATCAATCTTATTGGTAATCAAATACTTGAGCAGTCATGTCACTCGCGACTTATCGTTTTTACATTAAGTTGGTTGTGTGGGAGAGCCATGCTTCGGCACGAATGGGCCGCCTCGACCGGAGTGATACCACGGCCTCACAGAAAACCGACGTGAAGCAACGCTTGCGTTATGTTTTGTCGTGTGAGTGAGGTTACCGGAGGCCCAATTACCCTCCCCTTCCCCAATCTCCCCAATTCCTGAATCCCCCAACGATCCTCAAACTCCTAATCCCCAAAAGGCCGGCAACGCATTTGTAACACCTCTGGTATTCCACGTGTCCATGGGCGACGCCGATTGCTTACCATCAGGTGATCCGTCTGTTCGTTTACCGGCTTATGCCATAAAAAAAAAGTTTTCATCCAATTTCAACCTATCACCAAAATATAAAAAGCCTTGATTACTTTATGCATGCAGGCATATCGAATTTATCCGGTTTTTCGATTCATATTTATAACGGTTCACATCCAAAACTTTCATGATTGACAATTATATTTCGAAAAAAATACATTATCTAGTACCTAATACATATATAGCCAAGAATAATTGAAATTACAATGTTCTTATACAAAAGTCACAACGCTTTTTTTGTCTCCACATAGATCCTCTGTCGTGTATACAGGCCCTAGGCTCCGTCGCAGTGTAGTCTGGATGCGTTCCAAGTGGGACATCCTGTCGCCAAATATCCTGTGGATTTGATAGAGAAGTGCTAAACTGTTGTAAATTGAAGTCTCCGAGAAAAATGCGGAATATCACTGAGTCAGAGAGATTCAGATAAAGAGAACTGTGATTCAGATTTTCAATAAAAACTATTTAATAACATTTGATACTGTATTTGAAGTTAGGATTTTAGACGTCAAATTCAATGTATTTGGATCAGAAATTACTTTTTTATGCGTGTTTTAATTAGGTTATTGAACACCATGTACTTTTTTGTAATTAGAAGTAAGTAGGACATTAATAAAACGACAATATCTGAAAATGCTACATTTTAATAACAATAATAAGGAAGTTGTTCTAAATGCTGCAAATCCTACATATTATGAAAGTAACCGTTGCGTAGAAAGAGACAAATATAATATCATTCAGTGTGTTTCGTGCACTATCATCGTAGTCATTATATAAAGTAAACGTTTTTAATACATAACAGCAAAGAAAGAGTATGAAGAACGGAGTACCTGAAACAGTATTACATAAATTAGAGATTCGCAATTTTAAAGAATATCAAAAGACAGCAAAATACTGTTATATCTCTAAAAAGGTACCAATTTACCTGTAAAACGTATGCCTTTATACTTTTGATCATCAATTCATTCATATTCACATCAAAATATTCTATCATTTTTAAATTTTAGTAGGAAATCTTGCTTTAAAGCTACTCAATTATAAGAACCAATGTACCTACATCAATATTTTTTCTAATATCAAGACTACCTACTCCACTTACCGAAATAAAATTAGTATAAGACAATGTGATAACTCCAAAAGCCGTCATGTACACCGGTACCTGACTCATCTGCAGTGCCACTACAGCCAAGGTTCGGAGATCAGCTCGACCGTCGCAGTGCTCCCAACCGCTGTGGAATATTGCTGTGCCCACTTCTGAAGCCTGGACAAACATAACATGGTTAGATATTCTTCTTCAAATAAATAGAGACGCTGAGATAAACATATTTCTCTTATAAACTATGTTTAAGAAACCGACTTCAACCCCCTCTTTTTAAGTCTGTGAATTAATATACTAAAACTTTAACCTAAGCGTAACGAACACTTTCTGAAAACCGCATCAAAATCGGTTTAGCCAATCGCGAGATATCGCGCATATATTGTATGTATAATACATAAATACAGGTCAAATTGAAAACCTACTTTTTTTGAAGTCCGTTAAAAATAGTAAGAAGTATCTTGCTACTTAGAAACAGTTATTGCTTCCAAGACTTATCAATATCAGATTTTTTCTGATAGATGATTCTACATAAGTGTAGAATGCGAAAAAGAGAAAATCTGATATTGATGAGTGTAGTTCCTTTCTTGTGTGCCATTACTTCCATACAATGAATTCCGTTTGGATACCTGGGGGCCTAAAATGGTAACATTGGGTGCATCATTTCTAATATGACTGATTTTTTTTTATATTTGATGGGCCGACGTTTGACTACTATCTCGCCTGGTGGTAAGCGATGCTGCTGTCTACGATAGAGCACGGCGGTTCATAAGCAACGTATTCCCTCGTTACCCTTCAGGACATACAGATTATGACGAAGAATTCCACTCCTTAGCAGTACGCACAAGGGAACTTGATGCAAAACGATTCGTAGAACGTTATATTCTGTCTGAAATTGCTAAGTTCTCCTAGGTAAGCGTGGCAATCAATACTCATGCCTTTCCGTGTAAAGATCATCCCATATCTAACAACGGCTCCTGCATGGCGTAATTTCGAATTCGCCTACCACTAGCCGCCAGCGCTTCGCCGGTCAGTTGTAAGCGCACCGGACGCGCGATGTAAGCTTTATTGTATTGACGTTATGAAATAATGTCCTACGACACGTATATACATATAAATATGACCTTTAAATCGTAATTTAAAGGTCATATTTAAATGACAACTTAATTGCTGGGTTGGAGCCGTGCTTGTTGGGTGTGCATCCTTAAGACCAGTGTGCCCAGTAATAGAACAGGTTGTAACGTTGGGCTTTGTATTGCAACCTCTACGTCAGGGTGTGAGATGGGAATGAGGTTCGAATGCGCGAAAACTATAGTGAAAACGTTTATTAACTGAACAGGTGCCATAAAACTACACAAACAGGGGTTAACTTAAAATTAGTTAATGTAACCGGGTACCTCGCGGAATAGCGGCTATGCGTTCTCGCGTCCACTGTCGTTGGCGGGGGTTCGCTTTCACTCCGTTAAGGGTGCATCCAAGCAAAGACAATAAAGGACCCATGCGCCACATCTGAGTCATGCGCCCATCAGTCGGCATGCGCCCAAACCTAACTATTAACCCCCGTGTTACAAGGTTAATTAATGTTATTACAAATACCTCATGAGTGATATCTCCAGCAGCCATCATGTAGGAACCAGTGAGTATTATCAGAACCATGATGTACGCAAAGTTGGCGATAAGGTACGTCAATGTACGCTCTGCAACCTGGAAAGATTTTTGGGCTTTAATTCTAAAACACTGCCAAGGATAGATTATTAAAAATAGAGCAGATGCTCTTGCTCTTAAAGTGCCCAAGACATATTGGTCTAGATACAAACATATACACTGTTATGTTACAATTTTTTTATGGGATAAGCCGGTAAACGAGCAGACAGATCACTTGATGATAAGCAATCTGTGTCGCCCATAGACACTCGGAACACCAGAGGCGTTACAAGTGCTTCACCGGCCTTTTAGGGATTAGGAATTTGAGAATTGTTGGGCTATCAGGGATTGGGGAGTGGGGGGGAATAATTGGGTCTCCGGTAACCCCAGTCACACCACCCAACACAACGCAAGTGTTATTTCACGTCGGTTTTCTGTGAGGACACATGGTATCACTCTGTCTGGTCGAACCGATACATGTGTGCCGAAACAGGGCTCTACCATACTTACATCATTTAAACGAGACAAATGTGAGACAATTTAGAGAATCAAACCTCTTATTTTTAATAAAAATAGCCTTTACAATAATTCACTCCCTGGGGACTCAATACACATATGTGCATTTCAAATTAGTACCTAGTAAAGAGAGAATGAAATACTCTGTCTAAATTATACGAACCACCATTTTGACGAGACACATGACTAGTAGAGCTACGCTTTCCATCACCTGGATACTGTATAGAGGTCCCATGGACTGCTGGACATTGCGGGCACACCTGCAAATTACGTTTAGTTAAAATAACAAGATTTTTTAGAATGTTTTAATTTCTTTATCAGAAACTCTTTAAACACAAAAAAAAAATTCTACGCAAATAGGATAATGCTCTTCATAATATATCTGAACAACATCCCTAATATCTTCAGCTTAAATTTTTTCATCATGTCTAGACAGTGAAGACGGCAAAACATTACTAGGTCTGGTTAATATAATACCAATGTCAACAAAAAGAAATCGTAGAATAAAGAAAGATACCTACCACAAAGCATCAACATGCAACTTGATCCCAACCACAAATCCTTTCTTAAACTCTTCATTAAGTTGTTCTCTCGTCTTCTTTCCTCTATGCTCCATAATCCTGGTCCTGAGCTCTCGGAAATACAACCTTAGCACCCTGAACTTATGGCCCACAGTCAGTAGGGAACACAGGGCCAGGCAGTCCATAGTCGCCATCATGGCAACTATACTGTACCAGTGGAACTCAACGAAGAACCGGAGAACGTTGATAAAGAAACCTGTCTCTGAACGGTTGGGGAAGTATACTACTTCTGTACGAATTGGAATGTCTGGAATATAGTAGAAATGGTTAAAAGCAGTAATATTTGGACATGCAATCTAGTCTCAGTTGCAAAAACCTGCTATAGCAAAAATATATTTCAATTCCTGAGGATTTCAGAGGAAAGTTGAACCGATCTTGAAGGTATTTTCTTCTCAGATTGCAGGTTTATCTCGTTCTCAAATTCGGGAAGATTACAAGATTCGAATATCAGATTTATCTTCAAATGCGAAGTTTTGATAGAATAATTTTTACAGCGTTATAAAAACATAATAAAGCTTCTTACTTTTAAGTGTTGACATAATTTTTAGACAAATCAGACGATAATAAAAAACTTACCTTCAATAAAATGCAGCCTAATTCCTTCAATAGTGGCTGAGCACAGCGTCACATACGAAGCGCTGGTAAGTGAGAAACAATGTCTGCTGAACTGCTTGACAGACAGACGCTCCAACTCTAGAGAATGGAATATAGGCCTGGAACCTTCTAGCAGACGCTCCATCACCACCTTGATGCGGTCTTTCCAGATATACAGAGTAAGGACTTTACAGTAGATGAGTGGATGAGCAAAAGAGAATTGAACGAGGTCATTTTTTTCCCTATCCGTCAAATCGGTGCGAGCGTAAGACAAGAGCTCGTCTATCAGAATAATGATGATGTACCCATTAGCAATGATCCTCCAGGCAGTATACACCTTCTTGCCGATGTAAGAAGCACCATTCTCTTCGTACCAAAGGTCCCCCATACCCAAATAAAACATGAACTTGCATAGTGCTTTAAAATAATATTTTTGCGGGTGAGTTTTCTTCAACGAAGGCACGTCCATTCCGGTAATTTTTAAAATCAAAATGTTCCAAAGTTTTAATCGTTCTCCATTCGAAGGGGTATGATTAATTGAAACTGGTCTTTTTGACTTTAAAACTCAATTACACAAATTGATTAATTCGTTCGATAAATGGTATAGTTTCCTTTGATAAATGGCTCCATAGTTGTGAATATATTTATTAGTTTGTTAGTTGTTACGTATGAACAAAGTTATTGAAACCTTCAGTCATAATTTTCTGAACTGGAAAAAATATAGATACCTATAGAAATTAAAAGCACTTTTGTTAGTATAACTAAGGTAGTTTCTTATCCTCAAAATTTTCGTTCACTTAATGAGATAATGTACCTAGCGGAACATCTCTGGGGCCAGTGTTCATAATTTCACGACAAATTTCGGTTTATATTAAAGACTGCTTTAATTAGTCTCAAGTAATTAATTCGCTACATTTTTAATGTTCTTTATGAATGCGATCAAAGTTAATTACTTACATTATTATTGCTAATCTTTTGATATTTAAATGTTTATTCGACTCCATAATCGCGGATTTGGTTCAAACTCGGTCAGAGTGTCATTAATTGTTCTTTTTATATTACATCAGGGTTTATGAATATTTGAAGTGAGTCACGTATAATTAACGAATTTCAATGTCCCACCATTTTTTAACAGAAACATTGCACTTTGTCATTCAGACAATTCTTTCGTCGACAAATATCATTTTATTATGATCGTTTTATATGTAATATATTCCCGGGGACTCTTGCTCGCCGGATCTGATGCAAATTGAAATGTCTAAGAATTTAAATCCCTATGAATTGTAAAAATATACACAGCGCTCAGGTGCGGAAGTGAAATTATTTAGCTATGGAAATGTGACATTAGTTCTCGAGAGCATTTTGTACAAATACAGGAATCAGTTAAGGAATATTTTTTACACACAACATGACATGCAACGACTAGTATTTATTTATTAATGAATTATAATCCAGAACAAAATTAGAGATAAATTGTAATAATAAAGAGAATTGAGAATCATATTAAACAATAGATATATTATTCAATATTCAATATTGTCCTTACATCGGACCGACCAAATAACAGTTTCTTAATAATATTTGTAAATATGTGAAGCGAGGTATTGTGGATATCAGGCACGCCCATGTCACTCGAGAGTAGCTCGTTGTACTTGCGACACATCCTTATCACAGGATTGTGAGACGATACATTGTTGTTGCACATTGGCAAAGAGAAAAACATCTCGCGTCTAACAGGTCTGGTAGGGATTCTGAGGTGAATTCATAATTTTAAACAAATATACCAAAACCTGGTAGGACCGCCTAATTCCCAAATACGGCAACCCAAAATGAGCAGAACGCTGTGCATACGTCTGAAGATTCCTTTTTAAGCCACACCTATGCGAAATGAAGCGCACAAAAATAAATAAGTACGTAACGTTATAAATACGTAACTGCAAATAAGGTATTAGGTTTAAGTTTAAGTGTTTAACCATTTACAGGCCATGAAGACTAGCCACATGAAGTTTATAGTGCATATATTCTGCTGAAACTAAAGCGGTAAGTCATTATGTATCGAATTAACAAATGCATGTATGAAAAAATACATTTTATTCTTACAAACTGAATAGTTAACAAAAACAATGTTAATTCTAACTCGTAACTAACAACCGAAAAATCGGTTCAAAATTAATAAAATTCCACATTCTACAAGTAACATGCAACTTAACACATTTCAAGTATTATCTCTATTAAAATAACTGCATTCTTAATCACTTGGTAACAAATGTATTTAGTACAGAAATAACATTTGTACTTTCTTACGGCAAAACGTTTTATACAAATCCCAATAAAAACAAAACATCAACATAAGTTAGAAACAAAATGCCAGCAAATATATTTGGTATTTAACTTGCTTGCATATTTCCTAAGCACTACCATCAGACAAACAACTAATTTCAACACATTTTTACGTAGCTTAACTAGTAATATGTTGCTGTCAAAATATGTATTATGTTCTTAAATGAAAAAGTCATCAAAAATTGTAGAAACCAACGACATAGGTACGCTACTTATATTTTAAGTTTAAAGCATATTACATTGAAATTCTAACACATAAAGCGTCCATAACTGATGTGCCTAGCCCTTAAGAGATACATCATAATATTACCGTACTATCTGAATCATATCCCAAATCCATTTCAGTATTATGATCCCTATTATTCTTAATATCTACATTTGGTCGCTTTCTCTTATGTTTATTTTGATCAGAGCTAACTGTTCTTTTAGGGGTCACAGATTTACTGTCTTTTAATGTCCTTTTGTTATATTCCTCTAAAGAAATCTTCTTTGCTGCAGCTTGTCTTCTATTGTCAGCTATGTTTAATGCACCACCTTTTCTTTTATTACTTTTAGCGCAATCGGCCTTTTTCATTGGGACTTTTGGAATACGATTTCTTTTTGTCAAGTCTGTAGACGCAGTAGTTACCTTAGGACTCACTTGATTCAAAACTTTATGATATGTCGGTATTGGCAAAATTGGTGGCGAATATCCTTTAGACTGCTTGGTTTGCATGTTAATATTATCCACTGATAGTTTCAGAGCTTCAGATGTTCCCCGATTGTTTGACATTATTGTCACTTCCATTGATTTTTCAACATTTGCACCATTAATCACTCTGTCACCACCTACTCTGCTACTCATATCTTCACCTGGTATTAACATTTTTTCTAATTTCTGTAAATTATTTGTGTGTAAAGCTGGAGATATTTTAGAAACTACATTTTTATTATTTATTAATTCATGGGGATCAGCGTTGTTTGATTTGGGACCACCGGTAATATTAATTTTTTTCACTAGACCGTCGTTATTTACGCCTATTATAGAACTGTTATTGTTATTACTAGGCTGCAGAGAATGCATATAATCTTGGTAGTCAGAACAAGGTGGTTGATTCGGCTGTACTATTGGGGTACTAAAAGATGAATTGGAATAAGACTGTTTTGTTTGATAGATATAAGGCGGTGGAACATACGTAGGCGGTGGAACATACATTGGTGGTGGAGGGGGAGGTAATGGAAGCAACGTTCGATTTCTATAAAAGCTTGAAACTGGATTGGCCTGTTGAGAAGTTTTATTTGGAAGACGGCACTGACTTAGACTGATTGGTTGGCATTGATTAAATGAATTTGGAAAATTGTTTCGTTGGTTACCCAAAGTAGTAGAGTTGTAAATATTAGGAAAGCGAGAGTTCTGACACTGCGGTTGCGGATTTTGAAACATTCTTGGCATTTGTGCAGCTGTGGAATGAACAAGATGCTCTGGTTTACTTCCGACTGGCATGTCACACTTACTTTTTAATATTTTAGTTGATGCATTATAATTCTGAACTTTGCCGTTGTCATTAGAATTATTTTTGTGATACAGTTTCTTTGGCAAAGAATGAACAATATACTGAGGTTTGAGACAATCATTTGTAGTAGGATAGTAATTTTCTGATATGAACGAATTTGTTTTATTTGAAGTTTCGACCATGGCTGAAGAAAACACGTCAGAATTACCAATTATGTTGGTATTTTGTTTTGTAACTTCTAGATTAAAATTAGGGTTTGAATTTATGTTAGAAGTCATCAAATCTTTGCTTTGATTTGACAATTGAGCATTATCTATTGTTGTTACATGTTTTGTCTTATAAGAATCAGTGTTAGGAGAAGTTATAATCTTATGATTATTTAATTCTGCAATTGATTTTGCAGTAAGAACTACATTTGAAGGAATCGAAGCTTCAACATCATTTGCATTTGGTTGCATACTTTGAGGTTTATCTAATTTACCAGGTCTAAATGCATTCTTATTGTGATCATTATAATATTTCATAGATTTGTCCAATTTGTGTAAAAGTGTTTCGCTAATGACACTATTTGGAGACCCTACTTTGTCTTTAGTCTCTTTCGTTGAAGAACTTTTTGTAGGAAGTTCCCAAGATTTTGAAACTGCAGAACCTACATTGAGAGGGATTTTATTTAACATTTTTAGCTTGTTAACTATTTTATCTAATTTTTGCCGTGGTTTTGTATTTACATTATTGCATTTGACGAGAGAAGGTATTTCAGTTTTAGGTTTAGGCTTAGGTTTCTTTGAGGTAGTGCATTTTAGTATTGGAGATTTCGGTTCTTCCTTTTTATTATCACTTTGTTTATTGCCACTCTGTTCATCACAATTCTCCTTTGGTTCAGTAACTTTACAAGTGTTTGGTGAAATCTGGTTGGACTCTAACATTTCTATCATAATTTTATTATTATTACTAATTTTGTTCTTAATCTTCATTTGATCATTCTTGTATTTGTTACATTTTTTTATGTCTTTTACGTCGCAGGTAGACTTCCTTGAAGATTTCTTAAGTACAGTGGATGTAGGCACATTTTTACTTAATTCATGCGCAGGAAATATCTTTAGATCTTCATTTTGGTCTTTATTATTATGATCCTTAATCTTATTTTCTTTTAAATTATTAATAAATTCAAGTATTTTATTATTGCTAAAATGTAAGGGCACGGACAAAGAATTACTAGGTTTTTTGTTATATCCTAATTGACAAGAAGAACGCATATCTTCTTTATGAATCATCGCCTGGGTCACCTCTTTCTTGATTTTTCTAACTGCACATTCATCTTGCTTTATTGTTTTAAACTTTTTCTGGGAAATTTTCATACCAATAAGTCCTACATTTCGCTTTAAATCAACTTGGACTAATTTTCGATGCGGTGCGGTTTGCAGCTCTTTGTCAAATTTAAAACGTTTGTCTAGTTCTTTGTACTCACTTACACTCTTGTATTCTGGATGTAGATCTTCAACGATAAAACAGTCACTTGAATCTGAATCACAATGTTCAACATCTATAATGTCATGTTCAATTTCAGTTTCAAACTGATTTCGATCAGTTTTTTGTAATAATCGTGCAGTGTATTTTCTAAAGTACCACGGAAATT